AAAGAAACTTTATCGGTTTATGTGTCGAATATTTTATTATTTGAATGTATGGTAGAGATTGATTACTCTAGAAAACAACTTTTTGAAAAATTGTAGACAAACGGAGGCTTAATTGTTCAACTGGGAATGTATCTTGTGCCGGAAAGTTGTTCTGATTTGACATAATTTTGATTGGGACCCGTTTCTTCTTTATGGATGTTTTTCTCTACAAGAACATTGTAGTCATAAATTTACTTGCTCAAAATGATGGTGAATGAGAAAATGACATTCAAAATGTACACATTAAAAATGATTTAGGTGTTGGAAAGAAAGCAATAGAAGCTTGTACCATCTAGGAAAAAATAATAAGACAATTACTTGTTTAAATATGACTAAGCTCTTGTCTGGACACGATTCTTACTGAATTTTAAGAATAACTTGGACCGTTGGAGCAATACATGGGTCCTTATCCAACTGACTCAATATCAAGCAAATTCTTGAAATGTCCATCTTTCAAATACAATGAAATAAATGTCAAAATGGTACAAAGGTAATTTTACTTGGTTTGGTCAATAAATGAAGCGGCCTTTTTACCATATAATGGGCAAAATTTCGATAAAATATGTTGAAAATGGCTTAAATGATTTGAAGGTGTAATCATGTGTAGCATAAAAATTCTTTCTTGAACGAACTCGCGGGGTGCAAATCTTGGGCCCAATTTGCACCTTTGGCCATTGAACTTCTGTGCTGATGTGACATGCGGGCATGAATTTTGAACCGAAATTTCCTTTTTTGCTTGTCTTGAATTTTGTCCAAATCTTGATGATAGTGTTTCGCCGTTATATCATGGAAAATGACGATCAATTAACCTCAATCACCAACTATGCAAGAGCGAATTGAACATGTTTTAAGGGTATTGTATTTATTGAGGCATCGGTTTGCTATTCTGTTGTCCCATTTAGCCGCTGTTTGCCCTCCATTAACTTTCATTTTTGTTCATTAAATTTCGTTTTCTCCAGTCAAGGATGGTAGGCGGCTAGGACCCACTGACACCTTGATGCAACAGAAATGAATTTAAAATGAATTTCTTGAATTTTAATATAACCACTCACTTGCTTGAATGACAATTTCGCCCCGGATGTTGTGTAACTGTCAACATGAGTGCGAGGATATTTTCGTCCTTCCCTAAACCACCGGCTGTGTTTGCAATAAATGCGGCTGACACGTGATTGACTTGTTTGACAGGTTAGTATATTGAAAAGTGTGATAATGAACCAAAATGAGGTAAAACGGGGGCCAAACAGGGGCTTAATTAACTAATTATTCTAGTGATCAAGTTATGAAAGCTTTCGTATGATAAGGTTGAATACGTGCTAGGTTTCAAATCCCATTCAATATCATGACTCTTGTTGGTCAATGTTCACAAATTATTTAATAATCTGTTTCAAGTAGAATTAAATTTATCATTTGATGTAACCTTCCTATATTTTTATGAAATATGCGAACATGAAAATAAATATTAAAGTTATAGAACATCTATTAAAATCATGCAAGGTATATGAGTATATCTCTATCCTCTATCTAATCTCATAAAAATTGTTATAACGTGCTATTTATCATACTATTTCTCTTGAATATAATAAAATTTACACATCAATCCAATTATTGATCAAGTAATTGAAAAGTATTAAACTCTACAACAATCATCAATGCATAAACGTATATTTGGCATCAAAATATTGAAATTATATTAAAACTTCATAACAAGGGTTCATTTTTGTCTTAGCCACTAAAAAACTAGCTTGGCATTACAAACTTACAAGAAATCATAATTGATTTATAGAACATCACTCAAATTCTTGATGCATGAAGAAAAAGCGGGAGTATTACGAAATCTTGAATCTTTTCAATAGTTTCTTGATTGATCTTTGTCTGCATTTTTCTATTTTTTGCTCAAAGGTCAAGGTAAGTCTTCAAAGGATTGAGTTCTTGTATCTTGTCTCTTGAATTATTTCAAAAGCATGATTAATTGGTCCCCCCTGATTGCAGGATTATATGATATGAGAAGTTTCTTCCAATGTTTGATGGTGTACTGTATTTATAAGGGTCCAATTTAGGTCGTAGAAGGAAATTGTGACGTCTTCCTTTTTTCAACCATGCGATCACATGAAATATTGTGACGTGATCACATCATTTTACGTAGTAGGGACCGTTGTTGCAATTTCAGGTAATGCGATCGGAGATGGATTTGTGCATTTTGGTCCCTACATTTTGCTCTTCATTCAATTCAAGTCCTTTTTTATTTCATCCAGTTGAATCCCCACGTTCTTCAATAATCTTTTCTTAGTTAGAATCAACTTTTAGATATTTGCAATTTAGTCCATGAATTTTGGAATTCTTCATTTTCCATATTCTTTGGCCAATTTCCACCTTTCTTATCAAAATCTATCCGAACTTGAATATATCATACAACAATCGATATTTAACACAAATTAATTAGCAATCAATTCAATTTAAGTACCAAATATTCACTTTTGATCGGTCCGAATATGTATAGAAATTACTCATA